AAGAAAGAAAGAAAGAAAGAAGGAATAAACCACCAACCAGCCAGTTGAAGCAAAATAAAGCTGTTCTCTGAACTCTGGGTTAAAACAGGGCAGAATGATGTCCACGTGGAGACAGGATTGTGGGTTGTGCTGTGCAATCCTCTTGCTGTTTCCCTCAGAGCCCTTTATGTTCCCCTTGCTGTGCTCCCAGCTCACGACGCCGGGTATTTTCATGCTGAGATGGCCCCAATTGAGGTGAAAACAAAGAAGGGGAAAGAAAACCTGCAAAAGGATGAGCACCCCAAACCTCAGACCACTCTGGAACAACTGGCAAAACTCCCCACTATCTTCAAGAAGGATGGGACAGTCACTGCTGGGAATGCTTCAGTGAGTACGTCAGGGTGCTTGGGTGGGGGAAGTGGCACCTCTGAGGTCCTCCTGGTTTATTTTGGGGGGTGTTTCTAGCTCCCTGAGCCACCCTTGGCTTCTCTTGGTGGCCACACTGCTGCTCCTTGTTGGATCCTCAGTATCCTCTGTGGGCCAAACTGCCTTTTCCTCTTGCCCAGAGGAGGTTTAGCAGCCTGGACTCTTCTTAAAGTCATTATTTTAATGAGTTGATTAATGTTCTTTGGGCCAGAAGGGATCATGGAATCTGAATTCCTGCCTAAATTAGATCCTAGCTGTGGTAAGTAGCTACTTAGTCATTTAGTATCTTTACAGATAAAGTTGCCAAGTGTCTGTAAAGTCTCTTTTATAATTAATAGGACACCAATTATCCAGCCTACAGGATGATGTCTCTAGTGCAAGGGAGGCTTTAAGGAGCAAAAATGTCTTTTCCTTCCCAAAAAGACTGAAATGAATGAAACATCTGTGTTTAACTTTTCCTTTCCCAGTCCACAGAAGAGTGGAAGATTGTTTGGAATCAATCCAATGTTAATAACAGTGTCTTGAACTTGGAGTTTTATTGAAGATCATCAAGTGATGAGGGTGGGGAGGGACCTCTAAAGGTCACAAATGTAGGAGCAGGGACATCTGCAGCTAGAGCAGGTTGCTCAGAGCCCCATCCAACCACCCCTGGGATGGTTCCAGAGATGGGACATCTCTCCAGCCCTTCACCCCCACCCTGGGCTGAGACTGGGGGTTCCCCCAACCTGTTTAGTGTGACCCCTCAGGGTTGGGGGGGTTGGTTGGTGGGTGTTTTCTCTGCTAAAGGCTTCCCTCTCTCCCTGCCAGGGGGTGTGTGATGGGGCTGGTGCTGTCATCATTGCCAGTGAGTCAGCCCTCAAGAAGCACAACCTCACTCCTCTGGCCAGGGTCGTGGCCTATCACTCAGCTGGATGTGACCCTTCCATCATGGGCATTGGTAAGCTCCAGTACATCTCATTTGCCACACAAGATGGCCTTTTAAACCTCATTCCATCCCTGCTGGGCAGAGGGATTGACTTGCTGCTCCTCAGTGTGCCTGAAGGGCTGTGACTGGGGCCTCCCCTGCAGCAGGAGCACTGAATGCTGAAGCTTCTCACTGAAAGCTCCTCCAGGCATCCTTTGGCCCCTCACTTTTTGCCTCTGTTAGTAAATCAGGAGCACAGACCCTCTCTCCTTGTTTGTAAACCCAGTTTCCTGTCAGGATTGTTCAGTCTGTAGCCAGGAGCTGTCACCCTCCCCTCTTGCTGCAGGGCTGTGGCTGCAGCTCTCCAGCTGAGGTTCAATTCCAGGAGACACATCTGTCCACTTTAACACACCAACCTCTTGATTTCCTCTCTGTTTCCAGTAGACAAGGGTTTTTTTTCCCTTCCCATGGCCAGTGTTGGCATCCCAGAATCCCTTTCAGGCAGTTTGTTCAGGGGAATCATTGTGGGCTGGGTTCCACTCCTCAGCAGAAATGCAAATGAAGCATTGTCAAGTTTGGTGCCTTGCTCAGAGGCTCTGACACCAGCTTCAAAGCAAATGGAGAGGGAGGGTTTCCCTGAGAGGCTTTCTGCTGTCCTTGCCCTTTCTAAACGAGCTCATTTTAAGGCAGGCAACTCTTTTTAGCTTGTTTAAAACCTCCAGAAATCCTCCAGGGAGAAGCAGGGAAGTCTCCTCACTCCTCAACACACCCCAGCAGCTCAGAAAAGCCCAAATGAGAGCCAGCAAAGAGCTGAAACTGAGCCTGAGCAGTGGCCCCTTCACACATTGCTGCCTCACACACACGTCTAGGGAGAGAATTCTTTAGGGGAGAGGACAAAAAAAAAAGGCTCCTTGGCCCTTGTTAATGCTCTTTGTCACATCCACAGGAGATCCTCCCATTCCTCTGGGGCATAACAGGCATACTAATATCACTCTGGAATGAGCTGCCTTTAGAGGCTGGTGTTAAGCTGCCTGAGGCTTTCTGACAATCCACTGAGCTTGAAACCAGGCCCTTTCTTTTCCTTTTTTCACTCTCTTTGCCCATGGACTTGTTTTTAGGGGTTTATTCTTTCAGCTGTGAGTTGTCCACGTTGTTTTTTTTTGGATAAGATAGAATTTAGGACTGTTAAATGCTTTAGGATTGGAGGGTTTTTTTTTGTCCAAAGGATCAGCTACCATCTCATCTCTCAGGATCCTGGTCCCACAAGCACATATCTAATTAACCCTTTCAAATCCTCTTGGAGAGTCTCTTTGCTTTAGGGAGCTCTGCTTTGAGATTTATCTCCACTACTAGATTAGACTAGGTCCTAGATTTCAGCTTTCTTCCCAAGAATTTCTTGCCAAACCCTGGAATATTCTCCCCCAAAAAAATAATAAAGCTTTACTGACTTCAGCTGGCTGGGACCTGGGTCCAAGGGAAGGTTTTATTTTAACTAGAAGATATTCAGGTAGATCATGGGGGAGGATCTGATTGATCAGAGAAATCTGATGGTTTATTTTTCATCTAACTGTGTGCACCCTTTCCAAAATAGGCCCAGTCCCTGCAATTACTGAGGTTCTGAAGAAAGCAGGTTTGACCCTGAAGGACATGGATTTGGTAGAGGTAAGAAGCTTGAACCTGAGCAGCCAGGTTACTCCTGATCCTTGTTAGCAGAAAAGTTCCACTCTGCTGCCATCCAGTGAGACCTGGAAGGGCTGGAGGGTTGGGTGGTGAAGAACCTCATGGAGTTCAACCAGGGCAAGTGGAGGGTCCTGCCCCTGGGGAGGAACAACCCCCTGCAGCAGGACAGGGGAGGGGGGACCTGCTGGAGAGCAGCTCTGTGGGGAAGGACCTGGGAGTGCTGGGGGACAGCAGGTTCACTGTGAGCCAGGAATGGGCAACAAAGTGTCCTGGGGTGCCTTCAGAAGAGTGTGGCCAGCAAGTGGAGGGAGGTTCTCCTCCCCCTCTACTCTGCCCTCAGGAAGCCACCCCTGAAGTATATTGGGTCCAGTTCTGGGCTGTCCAACTCAAGAGAGACAAGGAGCTACTGGAGAGGGTCCAGTGGAGGCTCCAAAGCTGCTGAGGGGCTGGAGCATCTCTGTGCTGAGGAAAAGCTGAGACCCTGGGGGGCTGGTCAGCTGGAGAAGCCTCAGAAGGGATCTGATCCATGCTGAGCAAGAGATGAAGGACCCATGGAGGGTCAAGAGGTTGGGGCCAGACTCTGGTCAGTGGTGCCCAGCGACAGGACAAGGGGCAAGGGGCACCAACTGGAACCCAGGAGGTTCCAGCTAAGCAGTTGTGTTTTCCTTCTGCTCTTTTAGGTGAACGAGGCCTTTGCCCCTCAGTATTTAGCTGTGGAGAAAGCTTTGGGCCTGGACCCTGAGAAGACCAACGTCAACGGCGGCGCCATCGCCATCGGTCACCCCCTGGGGGCCTCAGGCTCCAGGATCACAGCTCATCTGGTGCACGAGTTAAGGTACAGAGCTGGTGGGCAACAGCTTCAAACTCTCCTCACTGAAGTCTTCCACTTTGAGTGTGAATTTGGTCCCTTTGGGTTGTAGCCCAGGGCCTGCAGGTCACCTCCAAACCCACTGAGTGGCCGTGGCAGAACTTCTTCCTTCCTCTAGACCCAACCCGAGCCCGTGGGAGTTGGCAGGAAGTTTTCCTGCATGGAGATGCCCTTTGAGCAGAGTCTCTTCTTCCATTTTCATTCATTTCTTCCATTTTCAGGATTTTTTGACATTTTTGGGGCTCGCTTGCTGTGCTTAGCACGGTTTTAATCTGAATTTTGGGGGGGTTTATCCCTGTTGGGGGTTTATCCCTGTCTCTTTTTGCTTGTACCTGCAGCACTGTGTTAGTGTAAAACCTCCAGGAATTTGCACCTTGCAATAAACTGTTTCTTATCATAGAATCCTAGAAAGGTTTGGGTTGGAAGGGACCATTCAGGGTCATCTCATCCAACCCCCCTGCAGGGAGCAGGGACATCTGCAGCTAGAGCAGGGTGCTCAGAGCTCCATCCAACCTCCCCTGGGATGGTTCCAGGGATGGGGCAGCGACCACCTCTCTGGGCAGCCTGGGCCAGGGGCTCACCACCCTCAGGGTCAAACATTTCCTCCTTCTCTGTAGCCTAAATCTCCCTCTTTTAGTTCCAAACCATCCCCCTTGTCCTGTCCCAACAGCCCCTGCTCAAAAGTCCCTCCCCAGCTTTTTTCAAGCCCCCCTTGAAGCCCTGGCAGGCCACCAGAAGATCCCCCCAGAACCTTCTTGAAGTATCCCTGTAGAAAAATTCCCTTTATAAACTCCTTGGGCAATAAAATTCCATTTCACTTAGGCCAGTTTCACTACGTGTTGAAACCACAAGTCCTTCCTTGCTGGTTTGTATTCCTGAGGACAGCAGAACATCTTTTTCACCTTGTCAAAGCCTCAGACCTTCAACTCTGGGGGTATTTTTTTTCCTACAACTTGTTTTCCTCCCCAACATCCGTCGAGGCTTCGAGATGAATCAAATACACCTCCTAAAACCTCACCTTTAGCAGTACCTCGTTGAGAGCTGATTTCTTTTCCTAATTTCAGGACAAACTGCTGTGCCTATATGGAAAAATGTGGATCAAGGGGAATTGATTCATTGATCCTCTGCTCCTCCCCCCTCCTGCAGGCGCCGTGGTGGGAAATACGCCGTGGGCTCGGCGTGCATCGGCGGCGGGCAGGGCATCGCCCTCCTCCTGGAGAACACAGCCTGAGAGGGACCTTCCTGGAGCCTTGCAGCTTGGCCCAGACCATCCACCACCCCCTCTCCCCCCTGAGCAGCACCAGTGTCACCACCTCCCATCCCTGCAAGGTAAAGGGGTAGCTGAGAAGTCTTGAGTGCTGAAGGAAACGGTGCGTTGATATCTCGCTATAAACGCCCGCAGGATTTCACACTGGTGAAGGATCTTTTTAGAAGCCTTTTTTGTTTTCAATCACAGATGATGTCTTTTCTGTAGGCCAAATTCTTTTCGTTCCCTGAGGGGATTGCCTGTCAAACTGCCACCAAACCTGCCTTCCAAGTGGCTGTCAGAGCAGCTTTTTTTGAGCACACGTTGCTTAAACTCTTCTTGTTTGCTGCCTGGCAGCACGTGCCTTTTATATCATGAGGAAATGTGGACATGGAATGGGTAGAACCTTCTGAAACATGTGCTGATTGTAGATGGATGGCTCTAACCTGTACCCTGCTGTTTGGCAAGGGAAAAGAGGATGGGGAAAAGCTGAAATTGCCAACGTGCCTCCCAAAAGAACAATAAATACGGGGAAAACCTGAAAAAAAAAGGGCTTGGTGTTCTTTCTTCTCCAAGACAATCTCTGGGGATTGCTGCTTTTGGTGATCAGTGGGTGTGGAGAGACTTGTTCCTGGCCAAGGAGTAACTGGTGTTCACTAGATAGCTTCTGGAGAACTCTACAGACTCCACCAGCCTCCCAAGGAGGGGGGTGGTTGCATCTAACCGTGTCTCTTGCAGGCACACAGCAACTCATTTCTTACCCTCCCCTGATGCCACCACCACCCATATCTCTTGGGTTGCTTCACGTGGGGATGTTCTTGGCTCCTTTGGGGAGTGCCCAGCTGAGCAGGATGTCCTGCCCCTCACAGGCAGTGGAGGGCAGGTCCTGAGACATCTGGTGTTGTGCATGTGGCATTCAGATGGAAGGAGATGGACCTGGGAGTGCTGGTGGACAAGAAGGTTGCCTGTGAGCCAGCAGTGGGCCCTCGTGGCCAACAAGGACAGTGGCATCCTGAGGTGCTTTGAGAAGAGTGTGGCCAGAAGGTGGAAGGAGGTTCTGCTCCTCTACTCTGCCCTTTAGGGGCCACCTCTGGGGTATTGGGTCCAGTTCTGGGCTTCCCAGTTCAAGATCATCTTCCAGAACGAAGCAGAATTTACACAATACAAGGAATAAATTAGAACAGTAATGACACCTTTAAATGTTTCATAGATTTCATCTTGTAAATATCAGAAACATTTTAACTTAATCACTACATATTTCAGCTGTAGGATTTGTGTTTTGCTTTTATTAAATCTGGTTGCTAGTAAGTTTATCCTGGTATCTTCAGTATTTAAATAACACCTAAATATTGGAGAGGCTTTATTTAATTTAAATAAACATAAAGAAAAACAACTTGATTTTGAGGGTGGTGGAACACTGGAACAGACTTCCCAGAGAGGCTGTGGAGGCTCCTGCTCTGGAGAGATCCCAAACCCCCCTGGCTGTGACCCTGGGTGACCTGCTGGAGCAGGGGGCTTGGAGGAGATGATGTCCAGAGGTCCCTCCCAACCCCTTCCATGATGGGATTCTGTGAGATCTCTGGTGACTCTCCTCCCTGCAGTCCTCTAGGCTCCCTGTTCTGCAGGAGCCTCTTGCAGCTTGCTCTGATGTCCTTGCCTTCATTAGATACTCCCAGCTGGTTGGACAGGTCCCATCTCAGACCCAGCACTGGCTTCTCCAGAGCCTACACTGTGCAGTAGCAAAGTCCTCAGCCTTCAGTCTTCCTCATCCTCTCCACTGTCCAAATAGTGCTTACCTGCAACTTCTTGCCACTCCTCTGGCATGAGCTGTAAGGATTGTGAAAGATGGGAGGTTCTTCAAAACCTGACTGCCTGGCCTAGCAAGAAATTCAGGTCAAGGCAAGGGTGGTGGGCACCAGCTGAAGGGTGGTGGGCACAGCTCCTGGGGGTTTGATGGATGCAGTGGCTTTAATGAGGGCTTGGGTACCCTGCAGAGGAGAAGGCTCCAGCTGGAGGGACTTCTGGTGGCCTTCCATTTTGGACTAGATGGCCTTCAAAGGTCCCTCCCAACCCAAAGGATTCTGTGACCCTCTGATCATCCAGTCCTACCATTAACCCAGTTACCATTATCCATACATATTGATAATCAATAATATATTGATAATGAGCTAGATCATGTGGGTACAATTTCTGATCACACCTGATCCCTGTAGGTCCTTCCAGAGCATGTTCTACAGGTGAAAGCACAGCAGAACTCTGCTTGTACCCTTAGGGAAGTGAAGACATCAGCATCATCATCATCATCTGAGAGCCATCAGCCATAGGGGACTTCAGCAGCGTCCTGCCAGGAGCAGAAGGTGGAGAAGGAGATGATTTTGGAGGGATGGTTGCTGTGCAGTATCTCCTCATGGGTGTAGCTGTAGCTTTCCACCACTGGGTGGGGCCTTTTAAACACCTTGGAGATCTCACACTGTTCTCCAGGCCTTTCTCCTCCCTTTGGTAGCCCAGCTTTCCTCCTAAGCCAAGGCAAGCTTGACTTTGAGACTTCAGCATGGAAGATTTCAGGCCTCACTTGTCCTTTTGGTGTCCAGCAGGCAGGTGCCACCATGCCAACGTGTCTTGGCTGCCTTACACCCCAAAGTGTTTGGTGCTGCTGGGTTGAAAGTGGGTTAGGAAGCTTCTGAGGAGGTTCTAACTGAGATTTGAGGGGACTTCTTTCAGCAGTGTAGGTTCTAACTGAGATTTGAGGGGACTTCTTCAACAGTGAAGACTGAAGGGCTGTATCTGGCAGGAGGTGGAGAACAGATGATGGGATTTCTTTTTCTGGATAAAAGGAGTTAAAATTTAACCCTAAGGATATGAGTGAGAGGGACCTTGTAGGGATGGACTTACTGTTGCATTCCTTTCTGCAGGGCCACTCACAGACAGGTTTGGGTGGGAAGGGACCTTTCAAGGTCACCCAGTCCAACCCCCCTGCAGGGAGCAGGGACATCTGCAGCTAGAGCAGGTTGCTCAGAGCTCCATCCAACCTCCCCTGGGATGGTGCCAGGGATGGGGCAGTGACCACCTCTCTGGGCAACCTGGGCAAGGGTCTTGCCCCCCAGCACCCCCAAGCCCTCCACAGGGCTGCTCTCCAGCTCTTCACTCCCAGCCTGGGTTGATCCCAAGGGCAGGACATTGCCCTTGGCCTTGTTGAACCTCCTGAGGTTCACACAGTCCCACTCCTCCAGCCTGTCCAGGTCCCTCTGGATGCCAACTGCACCACTCACCTGGGTGTCCTCTTCAAATGAGTTGAGGGTGCCTCAACCCCACTGTCTACGAAGTTCTCTCATGCTGCCAGTGGAGCTCTAGTCATTCAGGTGGGATTTTGTGGAGCTTTCTACAAAGAAAGAACATCTTGAAGGTCCTGAAGTGCCCAGGAGGAGCTCGTGCTAGGGACACCTTTGCCAACGTTGGTCCATGGACATCAAAAGCTGGCTGGAAATGAGGAGGGAGCCAGGAACAGGGGCTGAGGCTGCTTTTGGAGAGCTCAGGAGTTGCCCAAACTCCTGAGCAGTTGTGAAACCACAGCTCTGAGCTCTTTGTTGCACAGCAGCTCAGTGCCTGTCCCTGGAGAGGTGGTGCCACCTCACCTGGGCACCAACAGCAGGCAGAGCAGAACCCCAGAATCCAGCAGGGTGGGGTTGGAAGAGACCTCTGGAGATCATCTCATCCAACTCACCCAGGGTCACAGCCAGGTGGGTTTGGGATCTCTCCAGGTTTGGGTTTCTCTCCAGGGCAGGAGACTCCCCAGCCTCTCTGGGCAGCTGCTCCAGGCTCGGCCACCCTCACCCCAAAGAAGTTTCTCCTCCTGTTGAGACAGAACCTCCTGGGTTCCACTTTGTGCCTCTTGACCCTTGTCTTAATCCCTCGTGGTGAACATTTTGTTCTGGTCCAAGATACACGTGATGGAATCCTTGGGCTTTGTGTTTGCTTGGGAGGGTATTTGCCACTCCCAATGTTTTTCTCTTCTGCTCTGGTTATTTATAAATAAAGATTTTTCAGGTCTTGAAAAGGGGGTTGCAAAATTTCAGAGGGTGAAGCAGAAGATGATGGAAGTTAGACAGAGGAAGGAGAACTTCAGAGGTGGCAGAAGCATTGAGAAGTTGGATTTACTGGAGCTCAAATTGGCCATGAACTCATTTTCAGGAGGTTTTTTTCCCCTCACCAGACTAAATTTTCTCACACAAAACTGAAGTTAAGCTCTTCTAAAAGAAAACCCAACTTCTGATGAGTATTTTAAGAGTAATAATAAAACAGAGACTCAGCAAATCTACAGTGGGTAAAATGGTAAAAACTGAAGTTAAGCTCTTCTAAAAGAAAACCCAACTTCTGATGAGTATTTTAAGAGTAATAATAAAACTGAGAGATTCAGCAAATCTATGGTGGGTAAAGTGGTAAAAATCTTGACTTAATTTGGAGAAAAACATGGAAGGTTGTGGTGGACAGAGAGCAGAACTCAGCATTTAGGACTCCTGCTCCAGAAGTAGTGAGTGTTGGTCTTCAAATCACACAATCCCAGCGTGGTGGGGGTTAAAGGGACCTCTGGAGATCATCTCCTCCAACCCCCTGCTCCAGCAGGGTGCCCAGGGTCACAGCCAGGTGGGTTTTGAAAGTCTCCAGAGAAGTATTTAAGATTCAGGGGATGGTGAGGGAGTATGGAATAGACTGAGGTCCTGGTGCTCTGTGCTGAGTTCCTCTAGGAACATCTTGACCATGCTCTCAGGAGTCAGGTTCTCAAGAACTTCAGGTTGCTCAGCGCTGACGTTCTCTTGATGGCTTCCAGATACCTCAGTGGTGGATTTAGGACTTTTGGACATCAAAGGAGATCTACACCTTGCTCAAGTCTTTCTGTTTCCCATGCTGGAGGGTTGGTCACTGTCTTTGGCCAAGAGTGGCTGTCTTTTTTCTTGCTCTGCCCACTCCTGGGGTGGGGAGCAGGGTGA